ACTTTTGTTCCATTAGGTCTGTCAATCACAAATACTTCATTCCAAACTTGTATGCCTGTTGTTTCTCTTTCACAACCACCTCGCCATGTAAAGCCGGTCAATGGTTCATTGTTTCCACCAATCCAACTTTGAGAATCCTTGTTATACATATATCTAAGCATGAAGTCCAGCAGAAATGATTTCCCTTTACGAAAAGCTCCTGCCACAGATACCACAACTATGTTAAGATCTCGTATGTGCTCCTGTAGCAGTATCTGCTCCAAAGCTTCTTCATCAAGCTCAAAGTTATGGTCATCTTCATGAGCAAGGACAATCTGTACTGGACATGGTTTCTTCATAACCTCATCAGAGTTTACTAGGTCATCATCTTCATAATCCTCCCCTAGGGAGGTCGTGGACGAGACGTGGTTAACCCCGGCGCTAGGGTCGCTGGTTCGCCGCCGGCGCCTCAGCCTCTGGTGCGGTTGCTGCCTTCGTGCTGCCTCGTCCCTCCTCTTGGTAGGGTTTTGATGGTGTGTTCAATTTCAAAGCTGACGTTATTTTTTTAAAGTTTCAATGTGCTCCTAGTTCAGTTTTGGTAGGTTATATATCTCTAGAAATTTGTCGATGTCTTTACAGTTTTTTATTAGAGTATAAATTTTCAAATAGTTTTTGATTGTCATTTGTTGGAATATTTCAACACTGTTTATTGTGATATTTCCTTTTTCATCACAAATTTTAGTAAAAATTGAATTTTATTTCTCCTTCTTTTCATTACCTTGGCTAAAGGTTTATCAATTTTATTGATTTTTCTCAAAAAAGCTCACAACTTTTTTGTTTTATTGCTTATTTGTATTGTTTTTTGTCATTGTTTCAATTTTATTGATTTCAGCTCTGATTTTAATTATTTTCTGTCTTCTACTTCTTTTGGTATTAACTTGTTCTCCTTTTTCTAGGGCTTTGAGATGTTATACTAAGTTATTTATTTGATGACTTTCTACTCTTTTACTGAATGAGCTCAATGCAGTCTTCCAGCAATTGCCAGTCCACGCTGGAAGACTGCACTCCAGGATCTCCCCTGGGTTCCACTGGAGTGGTTGAGGAACCAATTCTTAGTCCACAATATCACCCGCGAACCCCAAGTTTCCTAGTCTCTGGTTCTGTGCCCAAACTTAGTCTCTTCCACCCCCACCTTCATCTCTTCCAACCAGTCCTGTAAGCAACTGGATGAAAGGGAGAGATGAAGAGTCATGTGGATTTTCATGACGTTGTCCCCTATGTAAATCTCTCTCCATGTTTGATTTTCTCCGGGTTACTTAGGCACACTCTTTGTCATGCAGTTTGGGTTTTCCAGGTCTGTATTTCAAGCCAGACTCAGATTTGTCATGACTCAAGTTCCTCAGCTGCAGGCCCTGTTCTGTGGTTACAAAATGGTTCTATTCTCTATCTTCAGCAAGCTACAGTTTCTTTCCTATACAAGGCTACTGTGCAAAGCACCTTTCAGTTTAGTCAGGCAGTGTCTTTGATCTATAAACTCTTTGTACCAAAGGACTGAGCTCCCCTAAAACTGCAGGTTCCTTTAATTCCCTTATCCCTTCCCTGTGCTCTCAGAGGGACCACTATGACTCTGGCTGGCTGATGCCTCCAGCCACAGCAGCAGCTGTAGCACTAGAGATTTCTTCCTTTTTTTTTTTTTATCCAAGCTCCTGGATCCCCAATCTGCTTTGAGTGTCTAGTATTTGATTCCAGCAGACTCCCCCTATTTTTTTTTATTCACTCACTTTGCTGAGAAGAAACCTATCTGCTTTCTTGGTTTTATGCCATGGAGCAGCTAGGAAAGCAACCTGCTGTATTCTGCCATCTTGAAAAGCCTCTGTTTTGTTCTTTCCTATAAGCATGTAAATCTATGCTGGAATGTATGTGTGGATTACCTTGGGCTGAACCCTTGATGTACATGGGAAGGATGTTAGGACTTCATAAGGCATCTCATTGCACAATGGAGAGGTTGAAAACAAGCTTTTCCCAAGCAGACATTTTTTTTTCAGAACTTCTTGCTTGTTGGACAAAATTTTACATGCATGTCATGAATGAATTTATTTTTTTCCACACATTTGATACTAAAGGATATATCTATTTTACCCAAGCATGCTTTTTCTTAATTAGAAGTCCACATTTTGTATTATTTGACTTTCTCAGTTTAATGTGATAACAAGAAAAGCATGGATGGAAAGATAAATTGATGATCAGACTCTTGGTTTAGCATTTTAGAATGGAGAAAATAGCTTATAAAGTGCTTTAAAAGAGTATTTGTTTCATGACATGTTGAGCCATCCAGTCATGGAGCCTCTAGTTGTCTGAGAGAAGGTAATAATTTGGCAACTTCTTCAAAACAGTTGAGGAAAGTGGTTATCATTCACCAAATCCATTTTTACCTTTTTCCATATGACTTATCTATAACAACCTTCATGGTTGCCTGACTAGACTACATATCTGTGCCTCTGTTGATATTATGGGTGTCTGTGTGATGAGAATCTCATCAACATAATATGAATAGCAATTGTGGACTTCTTGGATTTAATACATTAGGTTCACCTCTTCTTACTCCCTGTCGTAAACCAAGCATGGTACTGATCCAGCTTCTAGGATTCCAGTGATGTCTATCCTGCCCAGACTGCAAGGGTTAGGAGAATACTTTCCTCAAGAATGTATAAGTATCTCTTCTTAGTGGTTGTAATTTAAGCATGATTTCCATATTTCATAGGATTTATAACACAAAATAAACAAACAGACTATGCAACAGATATGGCATGGAGTCTGCATAGCCCAAATGTTTACTTTATTGCCCTTTACAGAAAACATTTGCAGATCTATGCCCTGGGGTATAGCAGACCAAAAACTAAGAAGAAATCTGTCTCTGAATGTTCACACACACAAAAAAGCAGAATTCCTCTGGCAATCTGGATAGCTCATAAAAATCTATTTCATGAAATAGAAATAAATTGAGAGGGACCCCATTAAACATGAAAGAAGAGTATGAATGACAGCTGACTTCTCACAGAATGCAAACAAGGAAAAAATGAGACCTCTTTAACCTTCATTGTGTTGAGAAGAAAAAAGTCAAATAAGATTTTTTTATTTAATGAACAAATCCTTCCTAAAAGAAAGTGAAACAAAGATATTTCCAGACAAGCAGTTTAGCAATACTTTCTCAACACAAGTATTAAAGAAGCAGTACATGATCTTCAAGCTGAAGGGAAATAGTATCAAAAGAAAAAACATAAATTTTTTGGAAAATAATGAGGAACCTTATAAGGGTAAATATTTAGATGAACATAAAATACACTTGATATTATTCCTGTATGCATACAGGTTTAAATTTCTTTTAAAAAACCATTGCTAAAAATTAAACAACTATATATTGTAGGTCTTATGGCATTTATTAAGTAACATTTAAAACAATAAGAATAAAGGACAGCAACTGATAAAAATAACTGTTGTAAGATTTTATAATGTTCATAAAGTGATATAATATTATTTGAAATTAGATTAGTATTAAAGTTTCGATGTGATATTTCCCCAAGACCGCACATGTAAGACAATGTAAGAAGATTTGGAGGAAAAATGATTGGTTTATAACACTAGCCTAATCAGCACATTAATCCCTGATGGGATTAATCAAGTGGTAGGTTGTGGCTGGAGGAGATGGGAATTTGGACATGGTTTGGGGTATATATTTGTATCTGGCAAGTGGAGTCTCTCTCTCTCTCTCTCTGCTTTCTGATTACCATGATGTGAGCTGCTTTCCTTTGCCACACACTCTCCCATGATGTTCAGCCTTGTCTTGAACCCTGAGAAATGGAATCGGCTTGTCTGAACTAAGACCTCTGAAACTGTGAGCCCTCAAATAAACTCTTCCTCCTCTGTAATTGTGCTGGTTGGATCCTTTGGTCACAACACCAATAATAGCTGACTAAAACAACTAGAATGATTTAAACATTATGTTCCATCTTTAGAGAACCTTTAAAAATAACACAAAGGTTTATGAATAAAAAATAATCAGTAGTAATTTTTTATTACTGTAATAAATATCTGAAATAATCAAATTACAAAGTGAAAATTTTATTCAGCTCAAGATTTTGGAGGTTTCAGTTCATGATCAATTGGCCCCATTGCTTTTGGGTCTATGGTAAGGCAAGGGGGAGTGTGTGGTAGAGAAATGTCACTCACTTCAATGACTGGGTCAAAGAGAGGAAGAGGAAGAGGCTAACTTTCCACTATCTCCTTTGAGGGCATCTCTCCAGTAATCTCAATATGTCTCATGTCTTATAGTTTCCATGACCTTCCAGTCATGGGCACAAAGCCTTTAATACATCTGCCTTTGGGGGATATTTAACGTTCAAACCATAGCATATGTAATGTTTAAAAGTATTTGATTTACTCAAAAGAAGGGATAAAGTCTGGGAATATGAAAAATGAGATGAGTAAAACTCAGACATCAAATGGAAGACTTAAATCTTACAATAGCAATAGTACATTAAATATAAATTAACGTAATCCTAGGCCCTTCTAAAATGCAGAATTAATGTAAGTGAAAATAAAGAATTGTATGTATGCAGGTTACATGAAATATTTTTCAACTTAAAAGATAGTTTGAAATTGGGGAGCTAGAACATCATACAAGAATTGAACATAAGAAAAAAATATGGCCTTATTAATTCCTGGTAATGTAGCACACAAGATAGGAAGTATTGCTGTGGATGAAGAGAGACATTTCATACTGATAAAAGTATCAATTCATTAAAAAGCAAAACACAAATCACGTATCTGATAAAAATTTCAAAGTATAAGAAGCAAGGAAGGGAATCAAATTCACAATAAAGTTGACAGAAGAACTGTATTGATATGCACAAAACATTATTAAATATAAAACAAAAATAATAATAATTGATAAAGTAACAGAGAGGTGTGATAATTACCAAAAATTTGGTTTTGAACTGGACAAGTAGAGGTATTGGATTAGATAGCAATATTGATTCTACAATTATGAAGAAGAAAATAGATACAGTAAAAGTCTTTTGTCTTTTCAGCAGTATTTCCACTCTCTGCTATGCTTCTTCTATTTTGCACATATGCAATCCTGACTGTTATGTTTCTCAAATCCATGGTTAATATTCTACTAGTAGGAAGCATTTGTATAACATTTGGAAGTATAGACAAGACTTTACTCCACTGAGGCTCTGACTACCTTGGGCAGGCATGTGGGCTTCCCATGTATAAATTTTGCCATGAACTTCCAAGTATCTTCCTGCAAATTACCCACTTCAGCACTAAAGGAGACTGAGATTTTTTAAGGTGCTTTCCTATAATCCTACTTCTCTGATGTCTTAAACCCTAACAGATACTTTTCTAACCTTCACTCTGCCAGTCTTTTGAAATCCATAAATTATATTCTTTCTTCTTAAAATACTCGGATTTTGATTTTGTGATCAAATTCTATATAGTACACTATAATGTG